TCATCCACGATAATTACTGTATTATTTAATACCCATCGCCGTTCTGGCAATCGAAATAATTATTGCACAAACGACGTAGTTAATTCTATTGTAATAATCAAAATTTTCAGAGTGTCTCTCGTATGGCTTTCTAACGATGCATATTGACGATCGCTCGTAAATCAGCTCGCTAATCGATCCCTCTCGTGCTTATTGTTTCCACGTTCTCTCGCATGATGGCCGATTTACGGCTTCGGTCATCGCTAAACTTCCCCCGACTGTCTGTCTGATTATCGCGTCTGACCCAATTCGTGGTTGCGCTACTGCGGAGGCGCGCGCCTAAGATACTACCCGGGGCTCGTAAAATATTCAATAAACAAAATTACAGTTCGGTTTCACCGCTCGATTACGCGCATTATGCCATTATGGTTTCTACGTTATCCAATGTGCTTTCAGCTATTGAATAGGGCTATTCTCGAATACGTGTGTTCGTTTGATGACCGTAGAGTCCGGCTTCCTAGCTAATCCACCATCATATTGATCCGAAGATAGCTCGAAATGTTGATTTATACTTCCTATTACCTGTAGCGTCGCGATAAAATAACTATGCGTTGATTTACTGGCCCGAGAAATGGACAGCAGTGACAGAAAAATAGCTTTCTGTTGTTTACGGAGACTATCGGCTCTGTTTTCCATCATGCTGAAACATCAAAAGCTTAGGTTGATCCTCGTTTTATAGCTGCATGATCTTCCAAGGTCCGTGCGTGATAAAGTGCACTCTGTCGTCGACCAAGCCAGCTGTCATTGTGGAGAAATCCGTTGAAGCGTTTGAGGACTGTCAAAGGCCTACTCAGGCTAATTGCAAGTGGTCTCTATATTCGCTGTTGCAAAGCAGGATCGTAACCCTCGAACGACGCACTTGTTCCAAACTTTTCCCAACGAAAAACGTCTTCGAGTAGTTCAGGACAGGTTGATCTCGCAAGACAGTTCGGTGTCGTCTTTTACGACTTAACTTACGACGGCCACTTTTCTCCCGTTCCGTCACACCTAGCGACCATGACTTAAGCTTCACTTTCGAAATTGCACAAGGGAGAATAGGCGGGTAGAAGGCATCGATGGGCGTGCGGTGTGCCGCTCGAACGAGCCGGCTGCGGCCGAGAGGCTTCCAAAGACGTTGTCCCACGGATGGAATGAGTTTTCCGGACGATTTAGTCAGGTATTTATTTGCTCCTCCCTCGGCAACATCTTCGCGGTTCTCGGTTCGGGTACCATCTTCTGGGAAATGCCCGACATAATATAGCGTCGTCGGGGTTCGCGTCCTCTTCTTCCTCGTTCACCGAACCGTGCTGCCCCTTTTATTGTTCTTTGAACCCCTTACCCTTCGCCTGGATCGTTCGTTCTCGCGAAATGGGATCTGTTCCCGGGGAGGGAGCGAAGATGGAAAGCGGTGGCGAGAGGCGGTGACGCGAGGGGATGTCGTGCAAATTGCTGGCGTACTCGTCATCCCCGGGGATTCGACGACGCCTGCTGCTTCGAAGAAGACAACGCTTGCCGCCGCGTGAATTTCTGTTTACCCGAGAAACGCTGTTGAATCACGTTCCCATGACCAAGAACTAGTCGATCGTAACGCGGTGAAATTTACGAGCCAGGAGCTGGCTCGATCGGATTTAACCGGTCCTGTTCCTTGCCGCCGGGGTGGCAGTTATATTTCGCCAACGAGCTCGATGGCTCGTGGCCACCGGCAAAAATTTCCAGCCAACGGAACGCACGACCGCGGACGTTATCGAATTTCATTCGCGCGAAACATTATTTTACGAGAAGATAAACGAACCGTTGCGACGATCGCTGCCCGAGGAATTTAACGCGTACGACCTCCCTCGTGCACCCTCCTCTTCCCCTACGCCCGATAAATAATTCTTGTCGATTCGAGATTAAATATGCCGTTTCACGAAATTAAATTGTCATCTGTCGCGAAATTACGCATGAATATTTATGACGCGCCACCGTTCGGACCTTTTAAATCAGCAGCCGCTGCGTCGACAGCGAGAGAGACGCGATGGTTTGATGGTTACCAAAAAAGGAGACCGAGATATGGAAACGAAGCCAAATCCTCGACTTAACGTTAGCTAAATATACGTAAAGTACCTCAGAAATAGTCATCGATCGTTCGCGTTGTATTAATTTATATAACCTATATTGCATAAAATGGGGTGAGTCGGTGATGGAGCATTTTATTAATTTGTTTTCATAACAGAGGTACGGTCAATAATTCTAATTGTAGCAGTCGCTAAGCGCTTTTCGATTCGGGCAAAAGCCACGGTAAATTGAATCGACGTCCCTGGACTTACGTAAGTCGGCCGACGAGATGGCTTAAAGGGGTTGGTCCGGTATTAGCCTCGGCTCGGCATGCTGCAAGAACCAGCTACCCTTTCCAGACTGAACCCTCCGCGTGCAGTCACGTCCCAAGTTGCTCCGTTAGACCGACGACCAAGTTTCATTAACGTCACGTGTACTGTCAGAAATAGTCCCGTAGGAATAACCGCGAGAACCGTGTACACACATACCGACACGGGGATGAGAATAGTATCTCTGTTTCGTGACAGTTCTGACAGATACTTAATATCACCGATGCCTACGACTAATACCTTGGATTACGATAGGTTGAAGGGCCAATTCGCGAGGAAAAACGATGTGCTTAGCGGGCCTGAAGCATCTATAGTAAAAATGAAAGCGGAAAAGCTACAAAATGACAGAAGTTATTTGTTATCCCCGAAATCGAGCTCATTTTTCGCTTTGACGCGTTCGTTCGTGAGAATCGCGAGATTGCAACTGTTAACGGCGTAACAGCATCGAAATTACTCGCGAACAGAGGGGCGATTTCTGCCCGATGCAATTTTATTGCAACACGTGCCCGCGTGACTATTTATTTCCCCCGGGCTAGAGAATTTTCATTAAACATTCATGTTTTCAGTTGAACGATGCTATTAATGTTGCACGCTCGAATGGATCGACGTCAACAACGAATAAACGACTGGATCATCTTTATATAATTTCTCTGATGTTAAATATAAAAGCAAAATCTAAACGTTAAACGTCGTCGTTGTTTCTTGGGTAAATGTCATACGCGTTCGTATCGTGTGGAAGTTGAAACAAACAGCAAGGGGAGAAGTTTACGGTGCCATCCGGCCGCTCGTATAAATGCGTCGGGACGCTTCAACCCTGTGGAAATCGAGGGAACTCGAGCACCGTCGAACAGAGAATTGCTCCGAATTCTAATGAAATTTTGCGACATCGTAAATCTCGCTCGCTTATGTCGACGTTTGCGATTCAATCGAAGAACTTGTAATAACTAACGCGGCGGCAGGCGTTCCAAGTTACTCTTACGCCGTGCCCCTTGGCTGAAAGGGAATTAAAAGTAAAGAGAAAAGTGTTAACGAAGGATTTTCTCGGGAGAATCTATTAGCCAGTGAAATTGACTTCCAGGAGTCACAAGTGCTCGATATTTAGCAGACCTTCCTTTGAAATATGTACAAGATAATTTCAAAGTTTTTCTTACTCACAGTACTCGGTGCTCTAAATGGAAATTGAAAGCTCGATAGAGCTTTTCGAAGCATCGAGAGAGTGCAAAATGCTCGAAACCCTGCGATCGGCACGAATGAAGATTAATCGTTAGTCTCTTCCCTGCGATTTTGCAAGTTTTTATTATCCACGCTATTCGAACAACGTCGTTTCGACGCCCCGACGTAACAGAATGAAAAAGAAAGGAAAAGAATCCCGTGGACCACGAAGGCATCGTCGTAATTCATTTGCACGCGGCTGGTGCCGTTTTCAAAGCCAGCTTAATCGATTACCAAAGTTAATCGATGGTCGGCTAGCTTCCACTCGAAGCGTTTGGAAAAGATCGACCAGCTGGCGCAGCAAAATTAAACTAAACCATATTAAGATTCTATATAAACTATATAAGACCGCTCCATAAATCAGCCAATTGCTGAGGAATCCAAGTTTAATTACCTTCGTTAGTTTGTCAGTGGTTCCTCGAGCTTCCTTCTACATTTTCTTTCCTCTCCTCCAAACCATGCTTCTCACTTTTAATCGCATTAAAAGTGTTTAATTGCATTTCTTAATCGCTCGCCCTGAAATCTATCTTCATCTCCATAATTCATCAACCACTAACGCTAAATTCAATATTATAAGTGCCGTAATCGCAATTGCGTAGATGGTGATTTCCTATTTTTTTTTTATGAAGTTTTATGGATAAACGAAGAATGTAGGTCGTTATGAAAACCGCCCCTAATAACGGAAGACGAAGGAATCCTTTGTTTCTCGAGAGAAACACGTTGTTCCAACGGTCGATTTGATTCCATCGCTGGTTGTCATGGAACAGCTGTTCGATTCAAATCCCTCTCGCAAGAAGAATCCATCCCTTAACGTTGTTTCCGTCGTAGAAGCAGGAGATGCGCGAGCTCACGTAGAAAATGCGACACGATTCTAGCGAGGGTGGCACACGGCTTATTGGAGGGCGGTGGAATTCGAAATTATTGGCCCGGTGTTCATCGAGCCTCGGTTCCATTTCCCCAACGACGATGGCTCAGGTGCGTCGCCTGCGGTATCGTAGTCTCCAGACGAACCGAAACATCGGGACAAGCTTCCATCGATGCTCATGAATATCGATCCCGTCGCTCGATTAAAATGCCGCGGGCCGAACTGTTTGCATGTTTGCGCTAAGAGAGGCCGAATTTCAACAGATACCGCATTCAATATTTATACTTGTACTTATGATTAATGCTCGGCCTTCCATTCGAGCGAATTTCCATTAATTTAATCGTATACCTGTTGAGATCTAATCTGATTGGGTTTCGCTAAGCTCGAACTTGATTGGAATACGCTTAATATGGTGCTTTCGAGCACATGGCAATGTTTCGGGGTAAAATACGTTGTTATAAGCTGAAAATTATATAAAAAATCTCTTTCTATTGATATTGCAAAATGACTTCTAACGTAATCGTTATTATCCGTTACAGAAGGGCTATCCTGACGAATCCAGACCTTTTATCCAGCACACCGTGGTCCCGGTTGCTGGAGAACGATTTCTGGGGTACACCCCTGAACGATCGAGGCTCCCACGGTAGTTATCGACCTCTTTGCGTCGCGACGTTTCGATTGAATCATCTTCTGGGTGGGCTGGAACCGTGGGGTTACCATTTGGTGAACGTCGCTATCCACGCCGCCTGCACCGTGCTCGTGGTCAAGGTGGCCAGAAAGGTAAATTTCACGGTTATAATATATAGCATAATTAATGAAACGGACACGGTAGTCGGAGGTAATTGGTTGGTCAAACAAGAAACTGATACGATAAAGGAGAGAAGGTGCAGAGATTCGCGGTGGATCCGCTTTTCGATTAACGCCGTTGTTCGTTCGTCGCTGGGATTTTACGTCAGAGCGGTACAAAACGAGATAATAGTGACACCTGTAGAACGTATGTCAGCCGGACTTGATAATACCGGACGTTATTCTGTGGCGTTGGAAATAAAATTTTACCGGTCCATTTAATCCCGGAATATTATCGTTCATAATTGAACGTCGCGTGTTTCTTCTTTTGACGCCGCACCGGTGCGTGTCACCTGTCACCGTGATCGTAATGGAAATGGGATTACCGAGGGAAATCCGTTGTTTCGTTCTGTACGAACTTTCAACCGTGTCACGGTGAATCTTAATCAACATAGACAAGGTATCCTCAAGCAACGCGAATTATTTTTATCTCGTTTCGTTTCCTCGTATAAATTATCTATACAGAGGGTAATCAATTCCGGGAATAAAGAATTCAACGACTGGGTAATTTCATACTTTTACATCCCCATATTTCATTCACGTTTCTTGTTACGTCCGAAAGGAGTCCATTGACAGAATTATATTTCAGAGCTTTTATGATATACATCGTAGAAAGCTGAATCAATTTAATGAATTAACGTTGTTTACATTTGCATCCTGCGTTACAGGTTCTACCAGGAAGAAACAACCTGGGGCACGCGATCACCGGCTTCCTGTTCGCGGTGCATCCGATTCATAGCGAGGCTGTAGCCGGTATAGTTGGTCGTGCCGACTTGCTCGCTTGCTTATTAACCTTGTCGGCATTCTTGGCGTATTGCGCCCACTGCGAACAGACCAGATCACCGTTTCCTCTCTTCTTGGCCATCGTCTCCTCGACCCTGGCCACGCTAGCCAAAGAGACCGGGATATCCTCTTTAGCCCTGTGTCTCCTCTGGGAATTGTGTCGCGGCGAGTCGAATAGAAAGGTAAGAGGAACAAGATTTAAACGAGAAAATTTCTTAATGTATTCACTGTCCAAACTTAATCAAGAGGATAAGAAAAGAAGCCGGGGTTCGTGTTGATTCGATAAACAGATAGAACAGTTTTCGCGAAAGTTTCGTGATAGAAAGTTTTGTTTAGCAAGTAGTTGTTCGTTATTCTTTATCGTTCGCGCGAACGAAACACGGTCAGAACGCGTTAAGTATCTCGTTAACCAACTCTCCGGCTAAATATTCTCAACGAGGAAGCGACGGAGAGAGTATCGAGCGTGTGCTTCATCCTAGTCCTTCCTCGGAGCAGGATGCGCTTACGGATTTACCGAGCTGTTTCTCATCACCCGACTACACATTTTACAACTCTATCCCGCCTCGGCTTACAAACTTTCGTTTCAACCATGCTACGAAAGTGTGAGGAGAAACATATGGATTTAAATCATTTCGCACGGTAAGCGTCCGCTCTGATCGTAAAATCTTAAAGCTTGAAATTTCCTTGAATAACTACCACCTCGTTCTAAAGAACAAGAACAGTCTAGTTCTATTCGTTCATTCGATCGTTACACCTATCAGAGGTAAAGCTCCGTTGAAACTAGTGCTCGTCTCACGTGCCCCGGCCGCATTACCGTAAATTAACGTTTCGAGAGGTGCACTACGCTGGATTGCGTCGACTGCGCATCCGCCTGCCATTACGAATATTAACAACTGAAAATGGACCGGTCTGGTAATCAAATTACCGTTGACGAGCGAAAGTAGACGAACAGTCGTGCCGAGTGTATAGAGAATATTCCGTAGCCGGAAGGGCAAACTGATAGCAGCGGCCAATTAGGTGACGCGATACAATTATCCGTAAGTGCAGCGGAGGAGTATAGACGTCGTTCTATGGTAATTGCGAGCAACTGGCGTGACGGTGAATCCGTGCCATCTCGCGTACCGTGTTCTTCGCTCGGTAATTCCATGGGGCACACGTGCGCGGGTGGATATTCGCGGTTGGAAGTCCTAGTTTCTTGAATTCGATCCGCTCGTACGCGTACGAGACGCATCGTCGTCGTCGCGATAGTTGGCAGACGAGCCGTGTAACCGATAACGCGAAGGTAGCTGCATCGCGTGTAAACGAGAGCCAGCTAGACGATCTGCTAGAGACAGCGAGCTGATGCACGGTAAGCCACCTCCAGCCACCGGTTCAACCGGCTTTAACGGCTTTAACCACCCTTCAGCCAGCTCTTAGCCGACCTAGTCGCTCTTAGAATCCTTCGACTAGAGCCTGCAGGCCTTTCTACCGCGTGTCGCATCCGGAATGCGCTGGATGCATCGGACGTCCCGGGTGATGCATGTCGCGAAGCTTGCCCGCGAGGGTTGGAGGGGTGCCAAGGGTCGTTCGCGTTTCCAAGACACCGTAGCATAGCGCGGGAAACTCGTTCTTCCATCCTGTCTTGCACAGTCCTTTCTTTTTCCACCTTTGCCTCCGGTATATATATTTTCTTCTATCTTTCTTTCTTTTGCCGTTCTACAACTGCAGGGTTAACCTCGAGCGTTTTTCGCGTAAGCCGAAAGCGTGGCTCACGGTTGGGAAACGGAAACCTCGCGGGGATAGCCAGGGAATCTCTCCTTGGTCGTTTTCCGCTCGCTTTGTCTACGGTGAGAAAATATGCGCGTTGCGGACGGGATACGGTTACCGGAACCAGAGAGTCGAAGAAAGAGGGTGACTACGAAGGAGGGTGAGAATATATACGCGGTCGAGTGGCAATTCGAGGAAACTAACTGCGAATGGTTGGCTTGTCAGGTTTAAAGAATCTAAGGGTTGAATTAATACGGCATGATTTTTTGTTAGGATGAAAACAGACCGTATAAACATAGGTCTGGAAACGCTTTCTTTTGCCAAGATATACACCTTTTTTGTTTACATGGAAATTTGAATATTTCATTACATGAATAGCTATTAATAATGTAGTATAGTAAGTCATTCTGACATTGCAAACAGCATGTATTATTGAGAGTGACCTTCAACCGAATGGATCGCGTTTTTTCAACCGCTCCTCCAAAAAGCGCCTTTTGTTCGAGCAGACAGTTAAAAAGGCACTGAAGGATTTTCCTTTTTAAATTAATGTTTTCGACATGAAACGAACATGGCTCCTTTGAACAGGCGGATACACGCTGACCTGGTCAAATTAATTTGCCCGGTGCTTTTGAATCCAGAATGTCTCGTTTAAATTAAGCTAAAGGGTGCGAGGATGGGTGGTGCGCTTTTTGGTTCAAACGCCTGCAATTATTATTGAGATTCCGTTTAATTATGAGCGAATGTTGATGTACCGGGATTGTCCGAGGTCTTAATTAATCTTCGTCTACCTCGAATTCGTGGATATAACAATCCGAAATAATTTAACTGAAATCTAACAATTCCTACTTTTCTGTTCCAGGCGAATTGCGGGCTGACCCGTAGCCGTAGCATCGGTATTCTTTCCGGAAGTCTGGCCCTGTTGGTCCTCGGCAGGCTGAGGATAACCGGCACGAGGCCAGAGTTCGCAAGCGCGGACAATCCGACCGCCAGACATCCCTCTCGTCTGACCCGTGGTCTGACGTTTCTCTACTTGCCCGCAGCTAGCGCGAGGATGTTACTTTGCCCCAGCACATTAAGTTTCGACTGGTCGATGGACGCGGTGCCGCGAATAACGAGTTTCATGGACGCCAGGAACCTCGAGTCGGTCTGTTTGTACACAGCACTGATCACCACCTCTGTCTGGGCTATCAGGACACTTCGTCGACCTGTCAGGGAGTCGTCGTGGAGCCTGGTGCAAGCGTACCCTCGCTCGGCTTCGTCCAGGTGTCCCGTGTGCGCAGGCAGACGAACAGGCGGTTGTCACACGGACGGTTGTCGAGCCGCGAACAACAACAACAACGGTCCTTTCGGCGATTGTCATTGCGCCAAGAGGGCCAACAGTGGATCGTCGATGAGCTGGAGCAACGGTTTCGTTAGTAGACGAACGGCAGCAACCAGCGTCGCAGCCTCGCTCGGTTTCCTCGTGCTTCCCTTCCTACCGGCTAGCAATCTCTTCTTCTACGTTGGCTTTGTAATAGCCGAGAGGATCCTTTATTTACCGAGCGTCGGTGCCTGTCTGATCGTTGGGGCTGCCATTTCCGGATGTTATCGGATAGCGAGAAGAACCGGATCGAGAAGAAGGGGAAGACTGGTGTTGCTGGCCACCGTTGTATTATTGTGTTTAATGTCGGCGAAGACGTTGTTGAGGAACGCCGACTGGTACGACGAGGAGAGCCTCTACAGGTCTGCCCTGCACGTCAACCCGCCGAAGGGTGAGTTTATTTTATATTAAACTGTTTTATCATCGCGTTAGGTGAAATTGAAAGCCACATTTCTTGTTAACAATTTCGGTGTTAAAAGAAGGAAAGGTGTAAGTTTCAACAATTTTTCTTACTCGAAAGTGGGAAGATGGATAAGGATAAAAATTATGACACGGTACGAGGTGAAAGACGAGCAACAAACGAGGAATAGAGTAGAGTGGCTAAGGTGGTAGGTAGTCGTTTGCAAAGGGTCTACAGACGCGTCTACCAGTGACAGATAAAAACGGGGACGAAGACGGATAAGAGGGACGATAAAAAACGGACAGGCGGTGAAAGAAGGAGTGAACGAGCGTGTCCCTCTATTGCATGTCGCGTATCCACCTTCCCAGCAATTTTATATACACGGTAGGCGGATCGTTGGCCAGCCTGCCAGTTCGAGATGAGTGGAGGGATAGCAAAGGCCAGCCACCGGCTGAACGAGTTGCCCTATAACGAGAAAACTGCTATAAGCCATATCCGTCGACCGGGTGAAATTTCATTTTTACACCGCCTCGTATATTTTATCCATAGAGAACGTGTTTTTCGTTATATTTATTCATTCGACAAAATTTATTCTTCATCTATCTAACTTTTACACTTTCGCTCAATGACGAGAGTAGAGTGCATCGGTTCGCCAGCTGCTTTCCTCCCTCCTCAAGGTTTTATCCAATCCCTTATCCGTCTCTGTCCGTTTTTTCTAAATCGCTGTTTGTTTTTACCGACTATCTGCTCGATTCGATCTTCTTCTGCTTCATACAGTTCCAAGGCTCCTCTAATTACCCATATCGAGCCAAAGTGGTTACGTATCGCGGACATCGGTGGTTCCTCGATCTTCTTCTCTAGACCATTATCGCGGTCGCTTATTCGCCAAGTTCCGGCAACTTCATTTGGGGAATGACGAACACACGGTAATATTCTTTGTGACAGCTCGCTCATCTAGAGCGTCGCGTCGTGTTGATGCTCCTCGCTTTGTCGCCTACCCTTCTCATCCCTCTCCACCCTTGTTTCCCTTTTAATCTTCGTGTCAAAAGGGTGTTGGCGGGTAGCGGCGAGAGGGTGGTCACGCGAGGCGAAGTCAGGAACACGTTGCAACCACGGACAATCCTTTTGGCGGTGTAACATCAGCCCGTTGCCAACCAGCCACCGGTCACGGACCGTTTTAATTGCGCCAACAGAAATTGCAAATTACTCTCGCTCTTGGGACGACTTTGTTTACCTTGGCGATCAAATTTCTCCGCCGGGCACACTTGCATGTGTTTCGAGCTCGTCTTTGATGCCACAGGATCTCATATTTGCTTCAGTTCCTTTTCTTTCGGAATTTTGTTGTGGCTCTTTCCGTTTGTGCATTAAATATTTTCAATTTCAATTTAAAAATTAATAATTTCTCGGCCAAAATTATCGTCTCGTACAACTTCTACCGACCCCTAAGATTCACCCTCGACGGAACGTGACATCGTCTCGACTCGCTTAATCGACCATCGAGGCTGATTCGACCGCGTTTTTACCCGGTTTAGCAGCGTTTTCGACCGATCGTTCGGCGAGGATGATTAGGCACGCGTCAGCCAGCTTGAACGAGCAAAAAACGGAGGGCAGAAGAACCGAGATAGCTCGTTAAATCTTCGGCGAGAAGATTCGCGATCGCGTTACACGCGGAAAATTGAGCTACGACAGTGTCGAAGAACAGCAGAATCTGCCACGTCAATGGAATCGCGCGACGATGAAATATCCTTCGGGGCGATTTATCGCGACTGATTTAGTAAAATGACAACTTCCGCTTCTCGATTATCGTCGAGTTACAGCTTCACGGATCGTGTTTTCACTCGAATACAAGGTTGGAATTAATTGTGGTTTCTACCGGCGACTTTAATTTCCAGCTGTGCAATTCAAATTAATTTTTAAAGACTTCCCGGTTAATCTTGGCGCGATAGGTTTGAATGATATTCTAAGGAAAGAAGATTCATTGGTTGTGAATAAAGAAAATGCTTCTGGGAATAGCCGGATGAATTGAGAATCAATTAATAAGGTATAGCGATCAATCATGATATACGTCTTTCTCTTAGCTGATTTTTATTCAGTTACTTTGTCTGGTAATAATACTTCTACAATAATTTGACATTGGCAGACATTAAGAATGAAATTTTCAATTTTTCAGTAAGAAATACGAAATTTCAGAAACGTAATGGAAATGAATCTCATGAAATGTCTATCAAAGTGTCAATAATTCTTCTGAAAGCAGTAACACAGCATTAAGTAGTAGAAAGAAAGCGATGACTATTTATCGAGTTCGTTTTACTCCTTTCTCCTTAGTTTCATCTTTCCATTATTTTCCTCTGACCTGGGTGAAAGAGTCACGCAGCTTTTGTTGGTCGCGCGAGGTTCGATCTATCATTCCCTTCATTTACATCGCACTCGGTGCTCTCTAATTCGCATTTGGTCGCGTTACGTTCTATTTTCCCATTCGTCGCGGTGAAATTGAAAAGAACCGGCTAACCGTATCGGTGCGGTCTTAGGTTGGAATATTCGATCGAATAAAATCTAGAACGCAGAATGCGGCTGTGCTCGCCTGGAGGATTTCTTTTTACGTTTCGCGAGGAAATTCTCGCCGTGCCCGCGCGATCGTGAAACACTCGAGGCCGACTCTCTGGTACTCCGCATCGCGTTCTAAATGCCTCGTTTAATTCATATCGCCACGAAATCGAGGGAAAACGGCAAGGAACGGAGCTCGAACGCTTCGAGGATTGTGGTTGATAATATGCCCTTGATTTCAGGAATTTTCTTCGATAATCCGCGTAGCTGCGAACGTACGTGTTCCTTCGGAATAATTCGAAATCAAATTAGCAGTTTCATTCGTACGCGTTATAATTTATCAGTTTCGAAATATCTGTGAAGAAGATTGAGAGGAAAAAAATCGGATTACCCGTTAATTAAAATTCCTCTCAGCTTATGTTTTACGCGCTAGCAGAGCTGGTAATTAGATTATCGTTGTACTAGAGACGCGCGGATGCGGCAGCGTTTTAAAGCGCTAATGAAAAACAATTTGAAGGGTTAAACGGGAGTAGCTTATAAAATAATCGCGCTGGATTTCAGCAAAGCGAGAGTGCACGCTTTTTCGTTGTGTCCCGGGTAACAATAAAATCTTGTTTAAGACGGTGCCGTGTAATCCACTTGTCTCCTCCGTTATTCATTGCAGATTCCACTTGAAGGATACTTTTACGCGAGATAACGTTTCCTATAAAGATCCTGCTTTTTTCCCCAACGCTTCCTTATAAGATTGTTAAGCACCGTCCAATGTTCAAGCTTTCGTAACAAACATCGAAAGGTTTCTTGATCGATTCGTGCAATCTTCGAACGATCACTCGTCTCGTATCGAGCAACATCACGAAATCGAAAGGGGAATTCAAGAAGGTTTTCCACGCTCGGTAGCCAATTTTACGAGCATGGATTCATTTATTACTCTTTGCTCGAGTAGCCATCGGTCTAGAGTAGGGACGTGGAAGGCTGGGGAAATGTGTTTTATCGGCGATATTGTTCGGGGAAGATAAAGCGAAAGGGAGGAAGAGATAGCGGCGCCCGCTCCGCCGCGATATTCGCGCTGCCCGTAATATAACGTCGATCCGTAGAGTCGCGTGTGCGCGGCTTTATTGCTCGTAAATACAAAGAAGTGAAGAAAAAGCGAAGGGAAAAGGAACGGAAGCGAGGGAAGCAACGTACCTGGCCGGCGTCTTATTGCCTTTCGAGAAGAAACCATGCACTGCGTGTAAAAATCTATTCTGCACAAGTATGCTGTTTACTAAAAGAATTAAACCTTCTTATTCAAAATCACACGAGATAAATTCAAATTTTTAATATACCTTCGTATATGTTGTGTATCGGCCCTATATGGAAACGCGCCTTAAGGCGCATGGGAGGACGCGCCACCTGGTATGATTTTTAGTAAAACAGTTCGATTACCGTGTGTCATGGCGCCGAATGATTTCAATAACGAAATGCGCAGTTACTAGTATTAAAATCAACTATATTATTTTCTTTTTTATAATAAGTGTGTTTAAAACAGAACAGTATGAAAAGTTGTTTCGTTGTTACCTGAATTTATATCTAAATCGTACCAGTAATTTCGGGTTCATTGCAAAGCAAAATTGTAAAGTGATTTGTGATTAAGAAAGTGACTTTCGGCGAGCAATGAAGTTTCATAAGTAGATCAAGAATGACAATTCGTTTGATCTATATTCTGTCGTTTGAATCCTCAACCTCCATCGAAGTCCTCACCACGGTTTCCTGGAATCTCTTGGAAACCGAATCGCCAAACGGTTAGCTTGCGACTCTTCTCACGATTTTCCATCTTCCTCTTTCCCTCCCTTTATCCGTACGTTGCTTTTTCCGACGTTTGTCGTGGTCGTTTTGTAACGAGCGCGCCGTTGTGATTGTTGCAGCTTATGGTAATTTGGGCAGCGTGCTGAGCGCCCAGGGACGTGTCGCCGAGGCAGAGGAAGCGTTCGTCCAGGCGCTTCGCTATCGACCGAACATGGCGGACGTGCACTACAATCTGTAAGTACAGCCACGTACAGACTCAATAATCCACTTTGTTGCCTGTCTACTTTTTACCATTTTCTCTCCATCGATAATGGAGGCGGGGTTAAGATCAGAGGGTGAGCCTGCTGCCTCGTTTTACCGGGTTAAATAAACGATTAGACAAGTTAGGACCAGCTACTAGGGAATTTACTTTCGGTGCTAGAAAACTCCCTGAAAAGCTTGATGAGTTTCGCTGGTTGTCGCGGAAGAAAGTTTCATCGCCGTGAAAAGGGAGCAGGGTTCTAATTTCGTGTTTCGTCGTTCAAAATGCGCATTTACTTCGGTTCGTTGGAAAATATTCCTATTCATACGTTCGCGTCACGAACGCGAAATCCAGACACGACTTCCGTTTGCCCTCTCGAGTCTTTCAACTCATCCCCGTGAACTCTCGTTTGTCCTCCGTTATTCCCTGAAACGAACACGCTGGACAGTCAGCCCCGAATCCCAAAGACGTCTGTCGAATTTGCGTAATCCGCGAGCAAAGCGCCGCAGTTCCGCAAATCTCGCGTCCAATGAACTCGCTGCTGATTTAAGTAGCCCGCAGTCTCGGGAGCAGTGTCCGAAATCCTTAGAAGGATCCAACGTGACTGCTGTCGGGAAAATAAAAGCACGAAGCTGTTGATCCGTAGCGGAAAATCGGTACACGCCAACGAATGACCGAGGAATTTCCTCGATCGTCCTTGATACACTGCCACACACGCAAACTCTCTGGCGTTTTGTTTCGCTCTGATCAGAATTTCGATCAACTCTTCCCCCTTGAATTCAAGTAACAAACGCATCCATCCCGTTGATAAAGTGTTAAACCTTGATTCCTTATCTCCGCCTAGTATAAATAATAGAGTTCCCTTCGAAGGGAGCGCGGAAAGTCTCCAAGGACTTTCGATCAACGCTCGTCATCTCTGGACGATCGTCTGCCAGGGTTTCGTGGCGAAGGTGGAAAGCTGTCAAGGCTGGGGGGTCGATAAGCCGCCGCTGGGCATCCCCCTGCGAGCTTGCGATAAGCCGCTCTACGTACCGCACGCTCGATACAACCCGGTTATCCATTATCCTCGTTCGTAAGAGCACATCCGTAAGGCGGCACGAGTATCAGAGAGTTGTTTCGAAGCTGACGGACACTTTGCGGGGGTGGAAAAACATTTCGTAAGAAAGGCAAACAATGAGCTCTATTTATTTGAACGTCTCCGAGGCATGCCTGCAACCGATACCAGCTATCTTCCGCTACTCTCGCGATTAATAAAGCTCTCCGGAGATAGTCGGGCTGTAACTTTATAAAATTTCACGCGCTGGAAAGTGGCTGGGTGGTAGCGTTATTACGATCTATTTCAACGGTAAAAGTTCTCGCAGCGACTGGTAGCTAGGAAGAAAAATCGCTCGGGCCAGTTGGATAACCTGGATTCATTCTTTCGAGGCTATCGGATGCCACGATGCAACGAGGCGAGTCATATGTGGCCATTATCGCCGTCTTCCGTATTACGGGCCGCTACCTTTCGCCGGAGACCAAACGGGCCCGAGAGGTAAAGCCGAGGGATATGAGCATTCATATGCCGGGATTTACAACCCTCGTTTATACCCGTGCACCGTAAACGCGTCTAATCGGACAGCACGCCAGGTCTTATAAGACTGGCTGGATTTATAAAAGTACCAACGTGTATGCACTGGAGCAAAGTTGTGCCCTTAGATTTCAGTCGGTTTAGCGACCTGTGTCCCTCTTGCGAAAATAATTTACAGAATGTAGAGGGTTGACGTGGAATGTCGTGTAGAGGAATAGCCCGGAAACTCGAGGGATCTTTTACAAGGTATCGCGACGTACGTCGGCCGTTGGAAAGATCGATTGTCCAGATACGAAAGAACGACACCGAGCCTCTTGTTCGCGGCGACAGGACAAGAGGATTTTACGCCTACCAGCGTTTTCCCTGCGGCGCGGTGCTCCGCTTTTCTACCCTCGGAAGAGTGATGGCTGCGTTTCGGAAGGAGCGATGTGCTGTTGATTTATTAAAAGCCCGAGGCGGATCGTAAGTCATCCGTCAGTTGATGACGGTGAATGGAAAATTGATTAGTCGTCAGGACACAGGGGGTTGCTGCTCGAGGACGAGGCGAAAAGAAAGAAGTTGTCCGCTTGCTTTTCTGTTCGACGATGCCACCCTTCGCACCATCGGTGCCGTCACCTCTGGCCAGATTACAGTGTACCGCTTAGGTAACGTTGTCGTCGGATCGATAGGTAATTAACGGATGCCCAGCTCGTGACGAGGGATGTTTTAAACGTGACGCGGCAGCCGCGAGATTAAAAAATAATTGGCCGTGCGAGCTGACTGGCAGAGCTTACGGGTAGAGAAAATCGCTCGAACCCAAGAATAATTAACGGCCGGACGTGGAGCTACGCGGATAGGAAGCTTTATTACAAAGAGGAAAGAAGCAAGGAAACAGGAAGCGGGTAGACAGTGAAAAATATACGAGTATATGTGATAATCCGCTGAGTTACGTAGGAAGAATATGTGATATACCCCTGAATTACGAATCAAACGTTGGGTATGGTAAATTTTTCACTCCGGGTTACCGTTTATCCTTTCTACTTCGGGAGGACGATCTTTTCCTCCAGGTATACACTGTTACCTGACACGTTAATTAAGCGGCGAACGGGAATTATTGGTCGTTTCACAGACGGCTCGGCACGGCGGATCCGCCAATGGCGTTAATTACTCGTCGGTAAATAGAATCAGTTGATTCGACGACGAAATTGACACCAAGTTCAAAGGAGAGGCGCGCGCCGCTTAATTGTCGTCGCGACGCCAGAGGTGCGAGGTGGTAGATACACGGACGCCGTAAAGCAAGCATCCGTCGTTACGACGAATCGAAGCGCGAAATTACGATACACCAGAGGACAAGGAACATTCGGAATACACGCAGCTTCGTTTAATAGCGAGTAATGAAGCGTATCGTTTTTATTAACGACGTCTCTGACTCGAAATTACGCGATCGAGCATCGTTATCTTGGCCTGCAGCTCGAAAACGCTAATGAAATCAAACAGCGATCCGAGCGAATTAATTTGCTCATTGTCCCGACGAAATCGAGGCGAAACGTGGATGCACGCTAATTTCCCTGACGGCATACAAACGTTTTGTCGCTCCAGCGATCCCATTTCTCGCCCTTTGAGCATCCCGTCGCCCGGCTGCGCTTCGATCGCGATAAACGTCGTTAAACGCGTGCAAATATTTACGTCGTTTGTCGACCCTGTCTTTGAACCGACGCGACGTGCTCCCGCGAATCAGGACAAGTTTCTTCCGCGAACGATGCTTTCTTCGAAATTCGTGGCATGCTTGCAAACGAGGGTGCATCAGCGGAGCGAACTGACGAATAATCCGTGGAAAGGGTTGATACAAACTCGAATTTTCAGAGTTTCCTTATTCGACCCGTTACTTAACTATGCGAGTAGCAAATTCCCAATTTCGCGAAAGAAATTCCATTCGCCCTTCGAATTTCAGTCGAAAGATTCAAAGTTCCTCTATCAGCTGGAACAAGTTCTCGATTGCACGAAAGAAATTTCAATCGCCCTTCGAATTAGAAATCGCCGATTCGAAGTTTCACAATCAACGCGTCGTTCAATTGCTCGAGTACTATCTTGGCAATTTTGCAAAAGAAATTTCGTTCACCGTTGATGTTTGCTTCCACGTCGAATGTCGGAGGAAATAAACACAATAAAACGGTTGCCAATGTCCCCTTCGATCGGAGTTTTAATCGAGAAGGAATACGTTCGAGCCGAGGTTGAGAAACATCGAGGGAAGCTTCTTCTTTCGGTCGAAAGGGGACGGGAACGTTAATGGAGATTCCAGGGTAAGGTCAATATTGAGGATGTCATTTATTGGTCGACGGAATTCGTGGCCTGGAATAGAAGCTCGAACGTTTAAGGAACGATGTGACGTCAGACTGCTAACAAACGAGCAACGTAATGAAGGTAATGATCATAACGATGGAAAATGAAGGACTCGTAAACTCGATGAAACGGTCGAAGAGATTGCGACAAAGCCTGTAGCAAAGATGTTAACGTTTAATTAACGACAGTGACAATGCATAATTGACGCTTAATTGCTGGGATGAAGCTTGGAAACGCTCGTCGAATCGGCGTAAACGACGTAAACGCTTTTCTCGCGGATTTCCACGTTTCCTCCATGTAAATGTAAAGAAACATCAGAATCGAGTCGAGATAACGCGATAGTAAACTCTGAAATGATTCACGGTTAAACCGGTGGTACGAGATTATCCTTGGTAATTCTAAGCCAACTTCGATATCCGTTTACCCGAAGTTTCCGCCACTGGCTGGTGCACGTCACAAATTAAACTAGCCCGTTAATGGAAACGTTCGACGCTTGGAAAAAGGTTACGCGTATCAGGTGCACGCAAATACGATCGAATTTCCACGATACTTTGTTAAACAAGCCACCGCGTTTGCAATGGATCCAATTACCTGTTGGTCCCTAATGCAATCTCCAGGGATCGTCGGCTATTGCTTCCGGGATATCCGACTCTCAGTGACGTTTCAAGGAATAAATTTTCAAATCGTTCCATTCGTCCCCTTTACTCGAATTCGCCTTCAAAGGTTCTCGTGTAATATGAAAACGACCTGACCAATGTTAAATTGAGATAGCATCGGGTAATATTTAATGTAATTAACGATTGATCAGTTCAATTGGGATATTCGATTATCAGTCTCATTTGGTGATTAAATTTTTTAATTAGTTTTAATTTGCCTCTGTGTTAAAACACGAGAGGGCATTTGATAAATTTATGGGTAACTATGATATGGTTCGCTTCAAACGCTTATATGAATTAATCGTCTACTATTGAATTAGCTATTCAATTGACCGAAACGAATATTTTAATACATCACCTTTAAATACACCCTTCACCTTCGAACGCTAATCGTTCAATCAAATTAAACATTTTAATCTAAACTTAAGATTGAAGTGATAGAATAATCATT